ACACAAAGGCAGAGGTATCACACTACCAGACTTTAAACTCTATTATAAAGCTACAATAATCAGAACAGCTTGGTATGGTTCAAGAACAGGCATATAGACCAATGAGACAGGATAGAGATTCCAGAAGCAAAACCTCAATTTCTCAACCAACTCATCTTCGACAAAGCCTCCACTACCAATGACTGGGAAGAGGAGAACCTATTCAGTAAATGGTGCTGGGAAAACCGGCTGACAACATGCAGAAGACTGAAACAGGACCACTGTCTATCCGCATACACAAAAATCAACTTTAAATGTATCAAAGACCTAAATGTAAAACATCAAACTATAAGAACATTAGAAAATGCAAGAGACACCCTTATGGAAATTGGAACTGGCAACCAATTTCTGATCAAAACCACAAGTGCCCATCCATAAGAGATAAGATAGACAAGTGGGACGTCACCAAACTGACAAGCTTCTGCAAAGCCAAAGAAACCATCAAGAGAGTAGGGAGACAGCCCCCAGACTAGAAAAATATTTGCCAACTATATGTCTGACAAAGGTCTGACAGCTAAGATCTAAAAGGAACTCAAATGTGCTGAAAAGAAAAAAAAAGCCCCATTTCAAAGTGGGCAAAGGATATGAATAGACAGTTTTCAAAAGAAGACATATGAGCAACCAACAGATACATGAGAAAATGCTCAACCTTTCTAGTCATCAAGGAAATGCAAATTAAAACTACACTGAGATATCACCTAACCCCAGTCAGGATAGCCATCATCAATAATTTCTAATACAATAGATGCTGGAGAGGATGCGGTGAAAAGGGAACACTTCTACACTGTTGGTGGGAGTGTAAACTAGTACATGTGGGGGTCCTGCTTCCACCAGTGTGGGATTTCCCGAAGGAGAGAAGAATAGGTGAAAGAAGGAACTTACAATGAAATAATATACTTGGACACCTGCTTGCAGGCCTGATGCCTGCAGGACAGATGACATTTAATGTTAGTTAACAGAAAGTTTTTATACCATTCGTAAAGGGGCAAGACAAAGAAAATTCCTTCATGTACATATCCTTTAAAAGTTACCACCATCTAGTGGTCTAGAAGCAACAAACAAGCCAGGAACACTATCTGCTTTCAGTCAATAAGTCTTTTTCATAAAACCAAAAATGATAGTTTTAGTCCAAAGTCCCGAATTACGGTCCTTGAAATGTCTCAAGAAAGTTTCCAAGTGCACATTTCTCCATGTATCAGGAGTTTTCTCTCTGGGGCTTCTATGACCTTCAAAGTTTCATAATTACCTTTCTTGTCCAGGTGTCTTTGTTACTTTTCTCTTATCCTGCACTGTTAATTTCTAAAGAAAACTCAAAAGAAGCTTGTAGTGATGTTTCCCAGGCCCCAAGTTTGCTCTCTGAATTTAGTTGATTTATCATAAAAGTATCCACTTAGTATATTATGAATTCAGTGAAATCCCACTCTATAAACATTAACTTAGAATTATAACTATTGAATTAAGTAAAAACCTTAGTGATTAATCTTCATCCTAAATCTGTGGAAACAGTGTTATAAGTCACCTACATAACTCCTAGATAAGTGTTAGAACTTATAATGAATTCACAATGAACTTACTATAAACTTGTGCTTCTAAAAAACCTCATGTCTAAACACTAGACTACATAATTCTAAATCAAATAAGGAGTGAATATACTTATATCATTTTTTACTCAAGCAATATCTGGTAACTTATAACCAAGTGAAAGAAAACATTCTTGATGTGCTTCAGAGTTTAACCCTTGCGTATGTTAGAAAAGGCCAAACGGCATAGTGGGAAATGGAAAAATGTACCATGACATTTCCAGGTTAGGTATGAATACTTCACATAAACATGCCATTTTCTTCTTCCACAACTGCCGAGAATTCTTTGGCTGTACCAACAGCAAAGATGGAAGACAGAAGGGCCTCAGCTGCCTGGACTTGCTTTGCGGCCGGGGGTCCTCAGTACACCTGGACTTTGTCAATCAGGTGGGCCTCCAAGGCTGGCTCCCAACAAATACAGCCTCTGTAGAAAACAGTGTGGCAACTCCTAAAAGATCTGAAAACCAACCTTCCATATGATGCTGCAATTCCCCTACTGGGAAGATACCCAGAAGAACTCAAATCACTGTATAAAAAAGATACCTGCACATGTATATTTATTGCAGCATTGTTCACAGTAGCAAGAACATAGAACCAATTGTGCTGCCCATCAAAAGAGGACTGGATTAAAAAAATGTGGTACATGTACATGACTGAATATTATACAGCCATAAAGAGCAAAATCATGAACTTCACAGCAAGCTGGATGGAGTTAGAGTCGATAATACTGAGTGATCTTTCACAGAAACAAAGAACTAAGTATCACATGTTCTCACTCATAAGCGGACCTTGAACAATTATTGTAATATTATAAGAAAAGTTTTGGCGGTAGCAGGAAGCTGCCAGGAGGTGGGTGGGGATGCAGGATTGACAGTAGTGGGAATCTGCCTTGGAAAGTAGGGGTACATCTCATCAACAAGGTTGCCTGCATAATGAACATTTGTACACCTAACCCTGAATTGTACCCCACATCTTCAAAATAAAAAAATTAAAAGATAAAAAACGAAGAAATTGTCCTGTCAGTCTGTTAGCATGTGAGATTGAGCCAATCTAGTCAATAGTTCAACTAAGTTCTCATTTTGTCATTGTTATAGTTACTCTCAGTATATAACAAGCTGCAAGTTCCTCCAGCAGTGAGCCGTGGTTCCCTTGATCCTACCACGGGGCCTGGACTACTAAAGAATTTTGACTGTGCTTTTTCTCCATCCTCAGCTTTCAGGAATCCCTGTTTGCTTGTGTTATGGGCTCTCTCTCCACATGATTTTCCCTTCCCTAGAGATCCATGGCTATTACTTCTAATGGCTATTACTGTTGAGTTTGTTTTGGAACCAAGGACCATTTTTGTTCTCCCAGGTCAGCCTCATCCTTAGCCAGGATCTATGAACCTTGCTCTCAGGAAGAGGACATCCTCGTTGATCCTGCCAATTCCATTTATGGTAGCCAAACTGCCTTGTCTCTGTGGCAGGTATCGGGCAGAAAGGTTTTCTGGCATTCCCCTTGGTTAGGAGACTCCTGCTTTGTATTGGTGCAGGATGCTGAGACATGAAGATTTTCTTTTCCTTCCCCTGGACAACTTTGTTGTTATCCTTACTCAAGAAGGTTCTGGTAGCAGGAAGGGGAGTGACACATCCTTCCTCCAGAGGCAGATGGATTTTGCTTCTGTTTCTACTTCAGTGTTTCTGGGAGTTAGAGGATTTGCTGCCTCACCCCACCAAGAGGCTTAAAGTTTTTACTTTTCATGAGAGATGGGTCTAGGGAAGTGGGTGGTGTTTTGTGCCTGAAGTCAAACAGCTGTTCACCTCTTCCATACTTGCACCACTAAAGGGAGATCTCTCTGTTCTTCAGTCTGTCTGATTTTTTTGAGAGTACTGTTGGAAACCCTTGGAGAAGAGCTTGTGTGGGAGTATGAACTACCCTTGTATCTGGTGCTCCTTATTCTAAACATATATGCTGGCCCACATTTAGCCTTCAGGAATTGCTAACATTTTAGCTGGTTTCCTCTTACTTTTCTGTAGAGTGACGCCCCTATTCCTCCTGTGCCTTTGTGAGGGTGAAATAATTTCTATGTCTTGTCTCTTTTTGGAGGGGCTTGTCTCATTTTGGAATTCAGATCTCAAGGCTGCCTTATGATTTCAGCTCCCTGATAGTTTCAAGAAAAGTTCTGATTTTTCATATTATCTGTTTTTTGCTGTTGTTAATAGAATTGGAGATTTCCATAGTGTAAGTGGAAGCAGGATTTATTGACTTATTTTCTTCACCCAAGATTACATTTTGTAAGATTCGTTCATGTTGTTGCATATAGCTGTAGATCATTTATTTTCCCTGATGTGTAAATACTATTTTATATATATATATATATATATATATATATATATATATATAAAATGCATATATGTGTACTATATATACATGACAATTTATCCTTTCTCCTATAAACAAACATTTGGATTGTTTCTAGTTATTTATTTTTATGAACAACATTGCTTTAAACACTCATATTCATATCTGTTGGTATGCCTTTGTAAGTTTCTATAGCTTGTATACCTAGAAGGTGTTGCTGGATTATGAAGTATGTATGGTATTGTTCAACCTAACAGAACACTTGGTGTCAAAAAAGCTCCATCATTTGTTACCCTTTAGGCAGACTTAATTTCACTGTAAGAACTAGTTTAACTAGCTAACTAGTCACAACTACAAGTCACATTTTTTGCTTTGTCTTCAAGGATATTAAGAAAGATAAAGTCAAGATTTAGAGACACAGCTCAGGACGCAGTGATCTGTTTTTTTTGTTTTTTTTTTTTTTTTGCCTTCTAACTATAAAAGTCTCAGAGAGCTGACTTCTTAAGGTGCAAATTAAAATTTTTCTTTCTGCTTTGGTCTCCTTGCAATGAATCTATGAGCCAAGATTAGAATGCCCATGGGAAGGCATTAATGTTGGTACTGTAATACGTACAGTGACAAATCTTAGTGAGACATGCAATGTGTATGCTCTTAATGTCAATTGTCTGGGCGTGTATTTTATGATAACAGGAATACAGGACAACAACAAAATGGGAGCTATGAGAGAAACTAAATAAAGGAACTCTTATTTTCTTTCTTTCTTTTTTTCTGACTACTTTTTTTAATTCAAGAAATCAAGTTGAACACAAAAACCCATAAACACTGGAATACGGAAAAATTAAGCTGTTTCATGGAACGCTTACTCTGAAACAACACAGATCTGCCTGGTCTCTCCCACTCCAGGAGAGGTGGCAGAGGGAAACGGCTGTTACTGACGGTGGAATGGACGCAGTGGGTGGGAAGCGGGGGGCCCGGGGGTTTTCACAGATCACCAGGGAGCAGACGCCACGGCGCAGGCACCAGCACATTTGGCCGGGCCCATCAGTTTGCACTTGTACTTGCACTTGGCTGCGGCTGTTCCTGCTGCTCTTTGGGGCCCCTCTTCGACTTCTGCTGTCTGAGGAAGCGGCTCAAGGCAGACCTGCCACGCCCTGGGGAGGCCGCGAGCGGGGGCGGCCTGCTCGCCGGTGTGGGGTACCTGGTCCTCAGGTCCTCGGTGATCAGCGGCTGGGCAAGCCCGCGGCTCAGTTCTCTCTTCAGGAGCTTCATCTGCTTCTGCCTCCGCCGCTCCTCCTGTTGGTTGGCTTTCCCTCCCTTATACATCTCTTCTTCCAGCTCAACCTCAAGGGCAGCCGCTGCCTTCTCAATCCACGAGTTGTGCAGACAAGCCTGGAAGTTCCGGTACTCGGCTTTCTCAATCTGTCGCGCTAAACGGATTCGCTCCTTGACCGCATCCATGTACTTGGTCTACACAGGGAAGAGAGGGATGTCTTCGTCTCTCTTGAGGGTTTTGTAGATCTTCCTAAAGTTGGTCACATCCTCAGGCCCAATCAGCATCAGACTGAGGCCTTCACTGGCGGCTCGAGCCATTCGGCCACTTTGGTGGATGTAAATCTCCGAGGTGCGAGGGACCTGGTAATGGATAACGTGCTGGACTTTAGGGATATTCAGACTCCGGGCTGCCACATCTGTTGCCAAGAGAACACTGTCTTGCAGGCGGGCAAACTGCTCCAGGTGTCTGAGTCTCTGCCTCTGGTGCATACAGGCATGCAAGGTCAATGGCATGATGTCCCGGACTTTGAGGAGCCCAGAGAGACGTTTGATGCAAGAAATGCTGTTGGCAAACACCAGGGTGCAGACTGGGTACTGAATCAGGAAGTAGTACAGGAAGAAGTCTTTCTCATCAGTCTCACAATAGATCTTGGTCTCTGTCAACGACTCAACCGTGGCCTCATGCCTTGTGAGGTCAATGACCTTGGGCTTGCCTCTCATGCCAGTCCTCTGCATGAGATCAAGTATGGCTGTCTTGTCCATCTTCTTGGCGTGCTTCTTATGAAGGATTCGAGCAGAAGCTTGATGTATCAAGGTCAGGGTGGCAGAAAAAACAAGCGTTTGTCTCTTTGGGTTGTACTTGGAGTCATTCAGCATCTCCAGCAGCTGTGAGAGCTCAGCAAAATGGTCTTTCTCAACCATGCAGTCAGCCTCATCTACCACCAGGCACCTGAGCTGCTGAAATTGAGCTGCTGAGCTGCTCAAATGAGAGTGCTTTTCTTTCACAAGCTCCCGCAGCCAGCTGGGAGTGGCCACCACAATCTCAGGATAGCAGCTGAGCATCCTCTGCTGTTTCTGCGTCGACATTCCACCAACCAAAATAGCAGTTTTGATTCCTGTAAACCTGGCCACAGCATAAATGTACTGTTTGACTTGGACAGCCAACTCTCGGGTGGGAGTGAGAACCAGTCCCAGCAGAGGATGCTGGAACTCTTATTTTCTATGCAACTAGCTTCATTTTCTCTAGAGGCATATTGATTCAAAGCAGCTATGAGGTGCACAGAATCCTCTTCCCTTACTAATGTCAGTTATAAAATTAGGAAAAAACCATGGTCTGTGCTTTGAAGGAGATTAGGACCTAACAAAGATTAGTATGCCAATGAATACCAATGAAAGCATTAATAAACACAAGGTAGAAAACAAACATAAATAAGTATAGATATTCAGAAGGATGTAGTTAAGTGTTAAGAAGTAGCTGGATCAGAGTAGGCTGGCAAGGAGATTCGAGAATGAGCAGCCTGTTCAAACAGAGAGTATGGTATGAATAAAAGTATTTTCTTATCCAGACGTATCTTTGTAAAACTGCCTCTGTCCACGTTGCCAATTGGTCATAGCTGTTGGGCCCTGCTGAGGTATTCTGTACCGAGCCGATATGACCTGCCTTCAGACCCTTCCTCAGTGGTCTGAGAGAGAGCATTAACATCACCTGAAAACTTGCTAGAAATGCAAATTCTTGGGCTTCACCCCAGAACTACTAAATAGATATTCTAGGACTAGGCCCAGAAATCTGCATTTTAACAAGCTCTCCCTGTGAATCTGATTTGCTATCCTGGTGGAAGGGAACCACTTTTTCTGTGAGCTCAGGCACTGCCCCTACACCAGCGCCACAGCTGGTGGTGACACAGTGTACAAAAGGCCAAACTCAGTGTCAGGATGGTGGCATTCTGTGATGGGATTCATACTCGAGAGAAGGCGTCAGCAAACTATGGCTCCTGGGCCAAGTCCGGCACACTGCCTGTTTTTGTAAATAAAATTTTACTGCAACAAAACTGAGTTTGTATGTTTTTCTGTCTATGGTTGCTTTCATGCTACAATGGTAGAGTTGAGTAGACACAAAACCCACTCCCCTTTCCTTTGATGGAAGGGCCTGCTGACTCCTGCCTTAGAGTTGCACCTGCCGTGGATACATCTGGCTACAGCTAGCCTCCACTTGGCACCATGGCCTCACCTAATTCTCTCTGTTTTGCTTCCCTTACTCCTTTGCTGATTGCAGGCCTAATCTCCACCTCAGGCTCTACTTCCAGAAACACTGCAAGTGTACTCCCAGACCTCCTTGTCTTTCTTGCTACTTTTTCTGTGTGCATGGGCGCCAAGTGAGCTGTGAAGCTTCCTGGACTAATGTTCAACGAGCCGTTCCCTCCTAGTAGATCTTCTGGATCAGAGTGCTCCTCTCAAGAAGAAATGGTGCTTCTTATCTCTGCACCCTGACTTTTATTTCTGCTACTTCTCTAATAGTGTGTCAGTGACTGCTTGAAAAAGCCTCTGTTACCATGGTTCTAAGGGTCATGTGCTATTATTATCTCATGTGCATTTCTAATTTATAGAGCACCAGAAGTCTACATGGTATTTCTCATCATATGCTTTGGTCAATGTCCAAGGACCTCTGGTAATATTAATAAAAGTAAGATAAAAACACTCACCCAACTACCACTAATGATAAAGTATGGGCAAGCTTAGATGAGGGCATTACTGCAATTCATTAAGTTTAAAATAAAATAGAGAAAATATTCTGTCTACAGTTTGCTAAATGTCTCACTGAAGGAATTAAGTGTTATTTAAATAGCACCAAGTCCTGTAGTCTACTTCCTGAGTTGTGTATCTTTTTAAATAGTAAAGCAGCACTAAAATCTTTCCATTACAGTGATTTTTCAATGTGTGATACTCGCCGTTGAGGCTCAGAAAAACGCTTGTGCTTTCTAATGCAGTGTATTTTGAAATATTTTCGTACTGACAAGCTAAGGGAAATAGGACTAACACACAAAATAGAAAATATAATTAGTATCAAGAGTTAAAATAGTGAAAGTCATTTTCTTGAAGGATAAAGAGCTAGAATGAAAAGAGAGTGCAACTTATTAAGGAAATAGGATCAAGGATGATGAGGTTGTACTTCTATATTGGCTAAGGATTTGGCTGAGATGAAGAGTGAAAAGACTGTTTTTTCTGTTTTTAGAGACAGCTGCTCGTTTCATAAAGTATGAGCCTGTTTCTCAGGATATGGGAAGGGACAGATTCTCTATTTCTCTTTTTTGACATACTCACGAGTAGGCAATGTCTGCTTGCAGGTCACAGGACCACTGCAAGTTTTCAAATGGACAACTTCAGATGGCTGCAAAAAGGTACTAAAAATACAGTGTCAGAATAATTTTTTGAAAATCAGATTGCAAATTTCATGAGCTGAAGTTTACTTTAGAATGTAATTTATCAGTAATTTAAATTAAAAATAATATAATTTTACGTCTGAGAGACTTTACCAAAACAGTTTTTGACTCACCAGTTGGTTAAAAGTCATGATTAAGTACTAACAGAGTGACCTGCAGAGCACTCAAAATTTAGAATTACATATTTATGTACAACCATTAGATTTTGATATAATAACTCTCCTTACAATTATCAATGAGAGAGAGAGTAATAGACAATAACACTTCACAGTTGTATACTATTTTAATATTTTTTCAAGGTGCTTTCATGTACTGGGGGTTATTTTACCTCCAGAACAATATTGCAAAAGGGAATGGATATTTAATCAATTAATAATCAAGCACAAAGATATTTCATGGTAATAATGACTAATGTTTAATATATATGTAGTAGAGCATAAATAGGAGCAGGCACTTTGGACAAAAATCAGAAAACAACTGAATTCAAATATCAGCCTTGACTCCTATTAGCTTTGTAATGCTGATTATGTTATTTGAAGTGCCTGAACCTCATCTTTAAACCAGGGTATGATATTATTGAGAAGCATCTAAGGCTATATATGTAAACTACCAGGCACAGAGCAGTGACCAGTGAATTTTAGTTCTTTTTCTACTTATGCTCAGTTATATGCTTTCAAAATTAGAAAAATATAGAAAGTAGTTCCCAGTTTAAACATGTAAAATGGGTATTTGATTATTGGAATGGAAGAAACACCATTGAAAAACAGCAGTAAGAAAAAAATTCTATAACCTAAGGTGAGTTAATTTCTAAGGTATGTGTATGAATTTAGCTCTGAGTTTCCTGATACCTAGAAAAAAAATCTCATTAGTTATCTAATGTTCACTGCAGACCAAAGAAGCATACACATTTACAGACAGAAACAAACCTTTTTTTCATAATTAAGTTAAATGTGACTTTCTGAGGGCTCTTTTTTTTTTTTTAGATTGAAAAATATAGTTTATTTAAAAAGTAAACTAGAGAGAGAGAGGAGATTCCCAGAGGGCCAAAGCCAGGACACATGGCGATGGCCATAGCTCAAAAAGCACATGGCCACACCAGAGTCTAGTAAGACAATGACCTGTGGGACCTTTTAAAGCTGATATTTGCAAGCACAGTGGACACTGCCTGGCAGCTGCTCTCCAATAGCAGAAACACTGGTGAACCCATTTTTCTACCTACCGTCGGTGAGGTCCAGGGCAAAACCCTGCATCATCAGTCAGTAAAGGCGTTTCTATGAAGAGCTGAGGGAATATGGTCCACAAAAGTTGCTTTCTGATTATATAACTTAATGTTAGAATCTAGAAGAAGGATGTTTAGTGGGTTCATTAAACTGTCTTTTCAAACCCAGAGATCTTAAGCCAGCCTTCACCAGGTGCTGACTCAACGATAATTCATGACTGAACTCTCACATCGACCTGCCTATGGTACATTGTCCTTTGCTGCTAGTTCACGTGAAAGACAAATGCTTTAGACACCAGACACAAGAGGGACGGAGTTATGTTATGAAAGTAAAAGGTTTTACTCACATTCTTGCCTCTTTAGAGGGTCAAAATAGAAGCTTGGTAAACAGGAGTATCTGTAGGTGAGGTTATTATTTCCTTACAAAAGAGCTCTGACTTTTCTCAAGCACTTGCAAGAAATCCTTGGCTGCTCTCCTTAAGTTCTGTGCCTTATAACATGCAAAAGACAAATATCATCTTCATGTTACAGAGGTGAAGTGTCTGTCCTAAGGCACTTGGTAGCACAAGCATTACTAAACCTCTCACTTCTGATTGCCTGGACCAGAATGGTCTATAATAGTGTGCATTGCTTAAGGTGGTGAAACAACCAGATCATGTTTCTACTTTAACATATTTCTTCTGTCATTCCTTCTGTGCAGTCCATTACAGATTAAATCATCAATAATCTTGTTTTATGCCCTGAAAAGCCTGTGTTTTTCCATAGATTAGATTTTTTTCATACTCATTTAGTTGTCCTGATGTCAACTTATGTTTTTAAATACTTTGGCCTGGTCATGGAGAGTGGCCCTGATTAAAAAGAAAAATCAATTTTACATTATTTATGCTGCTCTTATAGACATGTCCATGTCTTTATGGTTCTTCTGGTAAAGGCCATAATTACAAGATATGGAGAATAGAATGTGCTTTGGAAGTTTAAAGTCAGCTACCCTGTTCACATATTTGACTCAGAAATGAAGTTATGTCAGCCCTGGTGGCATTTATTTGAGTGATTAAACTGGTGTTTGTTCAATTATCTGTTCACTTATTTTTATGATTCTTGTACTGATAATGTTGCAGCTTTAATATGCTATACCTCTGATACCCACAGCAAAGAAGGATTATGAAAATAATGCATGAGCTTCATTTTATATCCAGTGTTGCACCTGACCTCTTAGTTGATGTACTATTTCTTCTTATTAATTTCAGTAGCTTTAAGGGGTAAAATGATGCTTGGTGACTTGGGCACATTGTACATTAGGGAAGAAGTCTGGGCATTAATTACATGTACGCTCCACCCCATTATTTTGAAATAATTGTCTCAGACATGGGGAATATAACATATTCTTCTAGATCTCTTCATATAATTAAAATTTGGTGAATATAGCCTCCATTTTTATTATATCTTTTTATTGCGAAAAAGAAACTAAGTTCTGAGCTGTTCAGAGTGAAAAATGAAACTTGCCCTTTTCAGATACAATTCCTTGGGGAGCAACCCATGTAAC